AAATAAAATAATACTTGGATGAAAGCTTTCGTCGATTTTGGTCGGAAATTTCCGCCGTGAAATAAAATTGGTTTGCGCCCTTGGACAAGATCCGGACGATACCTCAAGAAAATTTGTCCTTTTTTCTAGATTAAAAGAAAAAAAAATTGTCCGCTTTGTCCTGATAAAGAGTGTGATAAATTTCTAAAATTGTTTTGTTTAAAAAGAAATGATAAACGGTTCAAACGACGCGTGGCACTTTCTAAAAACAATAAAAACGCGTTAAATGACCGTTCACATCAGAATCGTGTGATTTTCTTTACAAAACCGAATGAAGTGCACAAAAATGCAACAATAAAATGTTAATTTGACAAAAAAAAAAAAAAAAAAAAAAAACACGCATAATTGTTTAAGAGATAAATTCAACGAGTTTGTTCTAAATCATAACTCTGTTCAATTCAAAGCGCCTGATTCATTAGAAAGTTAAGTTTTATACGTATTAATTATAATCTCAGTTAAGTTAAGTATTGAAAGTAAAAATTTGTTGCAATAAGAAACTCAAAATTTATTTCATACGTTTTGAAATAAAATATTTACTTGATGATTATTAAAACAGTTAGAGCCATTTTGCAAGAAAAAAAAAATTGTATAATAATTTAGACATGTAACTGTCTTAGAAATGAGAGAACCCTCTCGAAACAGTTATAAAGTATGTTGAAGTTATGTTTTATACATATATAGTTATAATTTTATACGAAGTTAAGGAGTAAATTATTGAAACTAATATTCTTAGAAACGAGAAAGGTTAACTATTCCTAGTGGCTGTTTTTAAATTTTTCCATTTAAGTTTATTTTAAGTATTGAAATAAATGATTTACTGTTAGGACTGTTTTGTCAAGTGAACATTTTTTAAATAATAATTCAAATATCTCACTATCTTAGTAATGTGAATTAGCATTGAATCAGTTCCAAAGTATAATGGAAATAATTTTAAAAATTTCTTTTTATCTCGGCCGAAGATTACAAATCTTTGAAAATATTATCGATAATTATTTTATAATTTGATTGCAGCGATGAGTCATTCGGTCATTCCGTTAATTTTTCTTCAATAAATATTAAGTGAAACTAAGTCGAACTGATTAAAAATAGACAAAAAAAAGCGAGTTGGTTCAGGATTTTTCGACTTTACAATCGTACACGTCTACTACTAAATCTCCGGAGATGTTTCGATTGGGCGACATGTCCTTCCTTTCGGCCGATGGAAACCTGATGTGGTCCGTGCCTTCGCGACCGTAAATCCGCATCTTCCAAAAACTCTCCGTCCTTGTAAGGATAAGGGCGAAAAATCTCGTTTTCTGAGACGGCAAGGCGATGAAATAATAATTCAGATTTATCTCCATTGGATTTCACGCTTTTGTACGGTTCACGGTTAAAGAAACAAATGTAAAACTAATTTTAAGTATTTACTCGAACTTACTTATGAAACAATGAGATAGGGAAACTGCCAGCCGATAAAGCGATAAAAAATCAATCGAATTATAAATTGAGAAGGAGAAAAATGAGATAATAGATTTATTAATTGAGATAGATTCGGTTAATTTTTTTTTATCTCTCAACAATAAAATATGAGACAAAAGACTGCGTCGTTTAACAGTTGAACTCTAACTTTTAATTACTTATTTCTATTATAATTTATTTATATTTTTGATTAAAATTTGAACTTAATGAAATTGTATGAGAATTTCTCGGTTCAACGATGGTCGGCGGGTTTTAAAAAACGTTCTACTTTTGAGAATAATTAATTTTTTTAATCATCACAACGAGATTATTGCAATAATGGAAATTTGTGGAAACCTCTGTTTGGAGTTTTGACTAATAAAAACGACAAATTACTTCTTAAAGTAAACTAATATATTAAAATTGTTTCTTTCCGTCTCCTAATAATATGTTAAAACTAGTCAAAAGTATAAATATTATTAACTATCATATATGGCGCAAAAGATAAGTTTGATCTTTTAATTTTGACCGTTCGATCTCAAATAACTCGTAAAAAAGCCATAAATAATGAAAATGTCTCATTTATATTGTCAATAAATAAAAAAAATATATATTTTTCAAGATCGCACACTTTGAACACAAATTATTAATTTTGATGTTTATCTTAGTCATAAAAATCTGAAAGTGAGAGTTAATTCAAGTCGGCTGATATAACCTGATATATATAATTTTTTTCCAGAAAATGTAACAAATCGAACGGTTGTTCAAATTAACCAAAAACCGTATTGAGCTTCGCTCTCGCCAGAAAAACCAAAGGCCCGGACGAAAATCACGATAAGCTCACGATACGACATGTATATGGAAATGGTCCTAGTGAACATTCTGGTCGAACTGGATCCAGACACCCTGAGAAAATTGATTCCCACGCGTCCGCGTAGTACCGCTTTCTGACATGAAAATGAAGACATTTTTCTTATAAAACTGTACAAGAAACGGAAAGCGTCCATGTCAAAATTGCTCAATCAGATACACAAAAAGCGCTCTTATCCTTCCTGCTCGTTCTGCATTATCAAACTTGATTTGATTCCGAATAAAGTCTGATAATAAAACTGTACTGCATATCTTCAAGAAAAGCGTCTCTAAATTGCATTAATTATTTAATGACCGGTTTTATTTTATAGAAGGAATCTAGCTTATTCAGCGTATGGCATGGAAAGTATATTATAAATATGATTGTAAGTCACAACTCTTTCTTTCGAAATCTGTATTATTTCCATTTAAAAAAAAAAAGTAGAAAGAAATATATATATTGTTCGCAAAAGAATTATTTTCCAATGGATAAATTTTATAATGTAATGTATAGAAATATGATTGCAACGGTTTAGTAATGTGTACATATAGCCTAGTCGTTTGATGTGCCAAGTTTTTATTATTTATTTGATTAATATCCCAATTAAGAATCCTTTTTAAAATCAAAATTCTTCCTCCATGTTTTGCAATTTTTCCATCGACGCATCCCGGCCATCTCACTGAGAAACCGTACAAAATTTGGTTATAAATTGGTCCGTTGGAATAAATTTCCGAGTGTCTGCGTTTTTATCCGCTGAAACTTAAAAGGCAACAATATCGCACATACTAATCCGAACCGATGTTTGGCTTTTCTTGCAGATATCTCGTTTTTTATTTTTTAAAATTATTTTTCTAATGTAATTTTATTCTTCAGATGTCGTGTCTACGACAACGCGAAACAGGACGCCCCCATCAAATGGAATATCGATTCATTTTCAATGTCCTGTTTACCTAACTGTTCCGCGACACATGCCTACTAATGGTATTTGAACGGTTTCGATTTCAATTTGACCTAAAACGACACCTCGAAATTCCCATAAATTTGTCTGTTTGCCCAAACGTGTTCATTTTTCATAACGAACGTTTCAAAGATCGACATTAACACTGGATTAAGAGACAAATAAAAAAACATTCTGCATAAATTATGTTGGCTTTAAATCTCCGATAAGCAACCAGCAATTGGACTTTGTTTACCAAGACTATTAAGTTATTGTTTAATAATATCGTACTTCATCCGATTACTTGCAGATAAGCGGCCAAGGGTATATTTACTATAAATAATAGCGTGGTTTACTTTAGATTGAATTTTATACTATTATTGTGAAATGAGAATTTTTACGATTCGTGGAAGACGTCTTGTCATATCTTCGGCAACAATGAAAAGATATTTAATATCTTTTGAAAATATCGAAATTGTTTTTGAATATTGTTGATAAAGGGAAATAACAGGCTAAATCCTTCTCGATCTGATAGAAAAAAAAATGTTGATCAAACCGTTTAAGTTTCATTTACCCTTTCACTGTTTAAAATTTAGAATAGGTTTTAATAAAAATAGTTCAAATTATAGAATTAATGAAAAGGTGATTAGGTTGTTTGAGTAGTTACGGTTGTAAAAAAAAAGTATTTTCAATATTTGACATAGTCAAGATGTCATCAAGTCCCATTTATTATTATTTATTTACATATTCGCGTTTGGTTTAAATTACTTTGGTCTCTTGTGTCGAATATCCCGCTAAACTTTGAAATTTTTCATCCAAGATTTAAAAAACTGTACTTGTTAAAATATATGCAAACCTTGATTAACTAAACAGAAAAAAAACGTGAAAGAAATATTTTAACATTTGACTGGGGATTTTTAGATACAATCGACCGAGCTTTGACAAAAATATTTGTATTATTATTTTCAAATATTTAATTTTTATTTAAAAATAGTATTTCTCAGTGCCTCTCGACTAAATCTATTTGGAATTTTTTTATTTAATCTATCTCCTTTATTTAATTTATAATCCGGGTTGACAAAAATATCGTCAAATTGAACAAAAATAAATAAATAAATAAATAAAAAAAAAATACGAAGTAAGAACCATTTCACGCAAGATTGTCCTAGGATTCGACATTTAAGGGTTTTCCGATTCGTGATAATGACCAACAAAAAAATTAATAGGTTTATTTACTTATTGACACGGCCGCGCGAACGCCGTAAAACGAAGCGAGGCCGGACGGACGAATCGGGTATTGAAACCGGGCTCCGATAAACACTTCCACCGCGAATATATTGTTTTTCGGAAAAAAAACCTGTTTGTTGAAAAAGTTATCACGTTTCGTACAGGTGGAAACATGTTTTTTGTTATTGGCCAGTGTTTTGTTTGAAAAGTTGAAGATACTTGAAATTTTAGTGCAATTGTCGGTTAGTTCCTTTGAAGTTTTTTTTAATATTGCGCGTTTCGATTTTTTTAATGCAATATACTAAACGATAAATGATAGGTTTTTTTAAAACTTTTTCGCTGAACTTTACTAAGTCTCCGAGACATTTTGTATGCCGGTTGTTCAATGTTATTTAAGGGTGGTTTTATTTGCAAGATTACATTTTGATACCGATTGACGCGTTTTTTCGAAATCAAGTCCGTAAAAACTTAAGTCGTCCCCTACTAAATTGAATCAAATTTCCGACTCACCATTAGGAAGGGTGGGTATCGGAAGGCCTCCTTCTTCCAGAACCTTGATGGGTCGAGCTTGCTTCCTCCGCGACATAATTCTAGAGAGTCAAGCACATCGGGTACACACGCGCACTCTCAAGTGTTTCCCCCCACAAAAAAGTGTCCTGACGTTGGCCCAAGCACACCAGACCGAGTCCTAAGAACGAGTGATGACTCGCCGGCCGTTAGACTGAGGGGCCGGCCGACGCTTCGCCCTCCTTCGGCCCGCTACGGCATCTCTCGTCGGCTGGGCGGGCGCTAGGCCACACTGCGCCTGCCCCGCCACTTTTCCTTCGGGGATCAGGACCGCTTCGTCGCCACTCGACGGTCGCCCCTCGGATGACGAACAGCCGGTGGTTGGGGGTTGCGTGGCTCGTCTCGTCTCGCTTTTTCACTATTTGCAAACAATAATTAAAACACAAATCTGCCGACACAGTTTGCTGTCAACACAAATTGCCCACATGTAAAATATTACATATTAACCATTTAACTACATTTGATCCTAAACACCCTTAAGTGTCTATCCAATTAAACTGGCTTTTGCAGTAATGCCAAACAAATCACAAGATCAATCATTGTTATAATGTGGATTAAATTAGGAGAATCCATAGTTTTCTCATGGACAATTGTACGTTCCATGCTTCAGGATGGGGGATTTGTTGTTTCTACATATGCCAAATAGAATCAACAAAAACAATATACACTGACAGGGAAAAAGTTCCACCCAATTGATTTTTTTTTCATTTTCTCGATAAAAGAAAAATTTGGCCCATTGTTTTTGTCAATAAATATTTATTTATGCTATGTTTTAAATTGAGAATATCTATTGGAGGTAAACACACTTAATCCTTAATCCAAAGTAAGGATAAAAGATTTTTCAATGTATACTGTTTAGAGAATTTGAAATGTTTATTCAGTCTCATTTGAATTTTGAAGCAATAAACAGTTTAGTTTTCATCTTTGTTTTCTTACTTTCAGTTTTTAAACTTAAAAATGCCACGGTGGTGAGGATGTTGCGCGTGGTGTGGCACTTATTGATGATGGATGTTCCAACAGGTATGCGGCGATTGCCATCGGAGTTCTATACGAAACTCTGTGAGCCGGTAGACGTTTTCACTATACTGAGTCTTACCATAGAAGGCCCGGTTCTGGGCGACCAAGGGTTACAGAACCAAGGATGACCGCTTTTTGGTAGAGAATTTTGCGAAACCGGCACCTAACTTGTTCAAGCGATTCATCAGCTCCAGGAAGTTCGAGGTGTCCAAATTTCTAAACGCACTGCTCGAAGAAGATTAAATCAGTATGGTCTGATGGCTTTTCGCCCCGTAAGAGGACCATAATTGACCAGAACACACAGAGTTGCACGGCTCGCATTTGCTCGAGAACACGGCCATTGGTCTTTGGACGATTGGTCTGCTTACGTTTTAAAGATGAGTGAAGATTTGCTCTGCGATCTCCAGATGGGCGTGAAAGAGTGTGGAGAAGGCGAAATGGAAGGTACGAAGCCTGAAATTTTTCCCAGAGCCAACCTTTTCAACGTAGCTCTGTGATGATTTGGGCGGGAATTGGAATGGAGAGTCGCACAGAGTTGGCTGTTGCTCGTGGAGCGTCTTTGACTGCATTCGCTATGTGGATGAAATTTTGGAACATCATACGTTGCCTATCCTCGATGAAATCTGCGACATCCTATTCTAATGCACGATAATGCCCGTCCACGTGTCGCTCGCATAGTACAAACGTACTCAACAGCGTAACATCAGGGTCTTAACCTGGCCATCCTGCCCTCCAGACTTCGCAGACTCCATCGTCTATGGTTAGATAGTATGTAGAGGCGTCTTTGAGATGTAATTAAGGCAAGAGTAGGAAATGCGGGATTGCAGGCAAAGATTCAATTATTAAACGTTAAAAAACGTGAAACTTCGATTAATTATAAAAATATATACAGATCAAGTTATATTACAAGTGAGTGGAATTTTTTGCCTGTCAGTGTATATCTAAGAGCATAGCAATGAATTTAACGCTTAATACAACAGTAATTATAATTACAATTAATTAAGGTTTTTAGTTGAGATAAAAAAGTCAATGACACGAGCGGGAATCGAACCCACGATCTTCGGCTAGATACGCCGCTGCTCTACCACTTGAGCTATCGTGGCCTCGATCCACTCGGACACTAACTTCCCATCTCAACCGCACCTTTTGAATTTTCACTCCTTTTTGCCATTTTTCAATTTCGTCCAATTTTCGTGAGTTCGAGTGGTCAATCGGACTACGACATTAGTGAATTTAAGTAATTATAATTAATTAATCTTTTTATGTAATGTTTTGGTTGAAATGAAAAGTTAGTGCCACGAGCGGGATTCGGATTCGGGCTGTCACGATAGCTCAAGTGGTAGAGCAGAGGCGTATCTAGCCGAAGATCGTGGGTTCGAATCCCGCTCGTGGCACTAACCTTTCATTTCAACCAAAACCTTACATAAAAAGATTAATTAATTAAAAGAAGTAAGTAAGAAGTCAATAGTCCACTAAATGTAATGAATTTAGTAATTATAATTTAGTACAATGAAATCCAAAACAAAAATAATATTACATATGCAAAGATCTAATATAATGATTAAACACAATCATTGATATCAATCATTGTGTCATTTATTTTATATATATGCTCCTATCTAGCAATCGCAATATGTATACTCAAAATAACGTGTTAAATAACACTTTTTATTATCCCCCTGGGCAACGCGGTGTTATAAACCTAGTATTAAGTAAATAAGTAGAACAAGTGATTTTTCAGTAGAATATTGTTTACGTTTACATACTAAAGAAAATAAATACTTCCTACCTAATTGAATTTTTTTTAAATTACTTTTAAGTAAGATTAAAGTAGGATAATATTAGTTTTAAGTAAAAATTATATTGGTTTTATATAGATCGCTGGTTTAACGAGCTAAATACTTAAATTACTAAAAAAGGAAAATATTTGTAAGGAGATCTGTTTTTATAACTACTTAAATATAAAAAGTAAGTAGTGTCATTCCGAGAAAACACATCAATAGAATTATCTTTCTTTTACACCAACTACAATTATTTCCTATCTAAATTTAAAAAAAAAAATTCATGCACAACGTTTATTTAATGTTTTTATAAGACAATTCATAATAAATTTGAATGACGTTTGTCAGTTATTGTTTATGATTATTCGGAAATCGTGAGATGCTGTCTGGTGTGATGTATGTTTCAGAAAAACAGTTTCTTTGTCGTGCCAACGTTTCGATCCTTATTCAGATCATCTTCAGGGACTGGGATTTACAAACATTGTTTAATTTTAACAAAAACATGTAGGATGTGGAAAAAAGTGAATTTATACAATGCAAAATATATTTTTTATATTCAATCAAAGTATTTCTACTCACACAGAAAACAAACACTTTGGCACACCGCATCTCACGATTTCTGAATAATCATCGACTAACGGTCACCAATCACCACACGTTATTGTTTATGATTGTATAAACAAGATAGAGTAATATGGTTTCAACCATGTTGAGTGGGATTTGAGCCACTGAACATTGATATTGAATGAATAAAAAGAAATTGTTATTTTCTTTCAATATTTTTTGTTTTCCGATAAAGGAATAATATCGTAAAAGTTAATTTAAATCTGGAAGGAAATGTATTAATAGTGTAGACTTTTCTTTACCTTCTTTTCCTGTGCTCCGCTCCCTTTTTTTTTAAATTATATATTACTTTTTGACTTCAGTTACCTACAAAACAGAAGACTGAGACAGTCAAGATAAAATCATTACCAGGAATATCGGCCGATATATAAATGATAACTTATTGAAATAAATGAATATTACACATGATGAAAATAACCCACTAATAGAACATAAATATCCACAAATGTTTAAGGAAGATTCTAAGGAAAAAGGACTATTTTATATTTACGAATGTTTAAGGAAAATACATTATATATAAGGAATTTTCTTACATTTTTTTATAAGACATTGTAGTTGACGTGTGATGTAGGATATGAAATGTTGATATGATTGAATAAACAAGATGCAATAACATCGTGTCAGTTATGTCGGTCGGACTTGGTACTGGTTTGGTTTGGATGACTCAGGGAACTACCAAAATCGAGCCAGAGAGGTTGACCAAGGCATAATTATTAAAACGCATACATACAAACAACCGTTTTCAATCAATACCACTTGCCCACATGTAAAATATTACATAATAAATTGTCACATTAGGGCTCGTGGTAGTTGATGTAGGGAAAAAAGGTTTTACCAAGCAGGTGTATGCGATACAGCATATTGGTCGGACCAGCCCGAGAATTAGAGCTCACATAGTTCCCAACGTATTATTATTTCTGTATATTCGGTGATTGGGATTATTAGTAATGGAGTGGTGATAGTATGGGATTTGATATACTACATGGAAATAGTCCTTAAAATATTATTAATTTAACTCTCTTGGCAATGTATATTAAGTTTTTTCTTTCCCTATTACTTCGTGTTTTGGGCTGATCCCGCACTCTGCTTTATTTGATTTACACATTAACAAGAAATTACTTTTAAAATGAGATATTTTGTTTAATGGCATTCGTTCACCAGAAAGTGGTCCTCACAAAATAAGTAAAATAATTTAATTTAAAGGAGGAAAAATCAAGTAAAAGATTTTTTTTTACCCCAACGAGGACTATTTTATATCTATGATTGTTTAAGGAAAATACATCGTATATCACGGATTTTGATTAATAACACAGATCACCTTCAGTAACATAGATAATTGACCATGACTGTACTAATACAAAACATCGTTTCAACACAGTCCGTCGGGCTTTGTGTCGCTGAACATTTACGGTGATTGAATAAACAGCAATTTAAGTTTATTTCTTATCGTTTATTACGGATAAATAAGTACATATCATAAAAATTAATTTAAAAACCAACATAATAATAATGTAGGTTATTCTTCACATAAACAAGAGCTATTTGCTATTAAAAAATTTTACGCGTGTTCATCTCACAGTATTAATTTATGGCCTTACTTTCGTGCCAACAATCAGCAGGAAGCCGACATGTAATATATTACTTATTGAAATAAATAAATCACTTACAGAAGGAAATATTCATAAATTCTCGTTCTCGTACATCAACAAGTACTGTTTTCTTAAGACTTCTTAAA